CTCTGCGTTCGTTTAAATAGGTCATGTTTTTCTAAAAATATGTCCATTTCTTCTAGATTTTCAGATTAGCTGGAGGACAGCTCTTTATAGTATTGTTACTCTCTCATTTCCGTTTGTCCTGTTGAGATGTTACTCATGTCATCTCTTTTGCATGTTATTTGGTCTTCTCCCGTCTTTCAAGTGTTTCTCAATTTTAGTAATCCTTTCAGTGAACCAACTTCTTGTCTTGATTCTAATATTTTTCTGTTTTCTAATTCATTTATTTCTGCTGTAATCTTTATTATTTATTTTCTTGTGGTGACTGTAGGCTTACTTTGCTAGTCTTTATCTAATTGTTGGAGATGTTGTGTTAATGTGTTGATTTTGGTTCTTTGTTCTTTTTGGATGTGTTTATTGCTACACATTGCCCTCTCAGTACTGCTTTTGCTGTGTCTCAGAGGTTTGGGTATGTTGTGGTTTTGGTCTCATTTGCTTGAAGGAATTTTTAAAATTTAATTCATTTTTTTATTCTATTACCCAGTAGCTTTTAAGCAGGGTTTTATTTAGTTTCCGTGTTTTTGATTTTGCTTCCTTGATCTTCCTAAAGTTTATTTATAATTTCATAGCATTGTGATCTGAGAAGTTAGTTTGTAGTATTTTGACATTTTAAATTTTATTGAGACCTGTTAGTGGCCTAACACATGGTCTATTCTGGAGAATGTCCCATGTACCCTGGAAAAGACTGTGTATTGTGCTGTTGTTGGGTTGAATACTCTGTACACATCTATGAAATCAAGTGGGCTGTGTTGGTTAGTTCCTCTGTGTCTTTGTCGGGTTTCTTTCTGGTTGTTCTGTTCTTTTATGAAAGTGGTGTACTAAAATCTCTCACTATTATTGTAGAGTTTCCTGTTTCTTCAATTCCATTAGAGTCTGATGTATACACCTTGGAGCTCTTCCATTGGGAGCATAGATTTTATGGTTTTGTGCTCATGTCCAACTGACCCTTTATTATGACAGACGTCCTTGTCTCTTACGCTGGTTTTTGCCTTAAAATTTGTCAGATTAGTATTGCCTCTCCTGTTCTTTGGTTGGTTTGTTTTTTAAATCATAATTAGCTTAATATGTTTTTTCCCTCCTTTAATTTTTAATCTAGGGGAGAGGAGGTTGGAAAAAGAAAATTGCACCTTTATTCTGTGAGTCACAGGGGGACTTCTGCAACACAAAAGATGTTCTGTATTATAATCAGCTCACATATGCTCAGGGTGGCTGTGGTGGATCCCACTGGCTGCTCGAAATCAGGTCACCTCCTTTCTTGCCATGTTTATTCAACTCTGTCTCCCAGTTAGCACCTGATCTGTTTATCTGAAGCCCAAAGTTCCAGGACTATGCTCTGAACCTGTCCCACCTGGTTTTCCATATCTTTTGCTGAAGAGGGTTCCCACAGCCTTTCTGACTAGTCCACCATCTTGCCCCATTCTCTGCCTAATCTGCCATCTTGACCCATCCTCTGCATCTCACTTATAATGGGAATTCTTGCTTTGTTTTGGTCAAATTTTAACTCATGGGCTCCCTCAGAAAATATGTAAGCATCCCAAGATCTCTCTACCCAGTGATTCAGGACAATCAGAACATTAAGATTGGTCAGAACTTTATATGTACACATATAGGTAGGGGCTTTGTGTGTGTATGTGTATATGTATATGTACACATACACTTATAGGAGGGGCTTTGAGTATATGTACAAATATGTATGTCTATGTATACACACATACATAGAAAGGATTTTGTGTATACAAATATATATGTACACACACATATATCTATAGGAAGGGGCTTTGTGTGTGTGCACAAATGGAGTCCTGGTGTGGAGCTATAGGACAAGCAGTGGACCACACATTGGTTTGAACTACAAGGTTGGTGGTTCATATTTGGCCAGCTGCTCCTTGGAAATCTTTTACAGGGTCACTGTGAGTTGGAACTGGCTCAATGTCACTTAACAACACACATACAGGAGGGGGCTTGATGTGTATGTGTATATGTACACCTAGGAGAAGGCTTTGTATGTATATAAATTATATGTATGTACAAATATAGATGTATATGTACACATAGTAGGGGTTTCATATATATAGTTAAGTGTGTGTGTACATATATATACATACACATCTATAAGGGGGATGTGTATGTATACATATGAATTGTGTCTGTACAAACATATACATATACACAAATGAGGGGGCTTCATACATACGTAAATGATATATATCTTGTACAAATATATATGTAAACACCTACATATCTGAGGGGTCTACAGAAGTTGATGGAAAATGTCCATTTCTTCATGAGCTTTTCGAAGCCCGTGTCCATGTGAGATGTAGTAGAATTAATTCTGATGGCTGCCCTGTGTGTGTCATGAAACTGTGCTCCACACAACACAGTACCTGGAGTGCACGAGAACTGCTAGTTTTTCCGTTAGCCGCTGAGTGTGGTAGCCTTTGCGCCTCTTAGGGACAGGCACTGTCATCATTAGTGGCTGTTGTGTTGATGCTGACTCAGGATTATCCCATTTATACAGGCAGCCCCCAAGTTATGAACATCCAGCTTATATATAACAAAGCAAGCTCCCCAAAGTCTACTGTGTTGAATCTGAGGTGATGTGCAGTAGTTTGTAATAACAAATGAGCACTACTTTGCCACATGCATCAAAACATTATTATTATTATGTTGATGTTTGGGTATATCTGGAAGAGTTTATGTAATGTTTTTTATGCAGAGAAATGTACATTTACGCTGTAGGATCAGCACCAGACTGCCAACCACAAGGTTGAAGGTTCAAATCCACCAACCACTCCTTGGAGACCTTACAGAGTTGCTATGAGTTGGAACTGACCTCCTGGGCACTTCACACCACCATGTGCCTGGCTGGTGTTAAATACTAACCACATGTAGCTGTTCCAATCTAAGTACCAACCAGAGTTTAAGGTAGAATTAGGGACAGAATTTGTTCGTAATCCGAACACGGCCAGCACGAAGTAGAACTGTTCTTAGGATGTTCCAGACCGTGATTTTAACAGAATCCATCAGTTAATACCATCTTGTTTACCAAGTTTGCCTTTCACCTCACACAAAGAACCTTTGCAGGTGAGTTAGATGAACGCCTATGCACTCTTTGGCTCTGTGTGTTTAATTGAAAATCTGCAGGTTTTGAGAGTGTAATCGATGCTGTGAGGTGGCTGGGAGCTGGTTTTACAAATGAGGTCTTGGGGAGAAAACATGAGGGCCGTAAAGGTCGATTAAAATCATTAAACTCTTAGGGAAAAACTTTTCTTGGCATGGAAGAATGTTCTGTGCTTAATAAACATTAGATTCCTCTCATCCCTTCAGAAGCCAACTCCAAACTGTGCGATCTCGGTGGTTGGTGGCCACAGCTAGTTGGCCACCTTCTTTCCGTGATTTGCAGTTGTTGTTGTTGGCCAGCGAATTGGATTCTGGTTCACAGTGACCCTATAGGACAGTGTAGATGTGCTCCATCCAGTGCCATCATCTTATGGGAGGAAGCCTCTGTTGGGTTCGAACCACCAACTCAGTCAGCGGCAGGGTGCTTAAATGTTGCACCGCCAAGATGGCTTCTTTCTGAGCAGCAGGCCCTCTGAGCCTACACCAGGCACACCTCTCAGCAGAAAGCCTGTGCATCCCAGCTTCCCTGGCATCTGGGCCTGGGTCCAGGAAAGTGGAGGTGACAGCGAGGTGTGAGGTGTCCTGCGGGGATCCCTGCTGTCTGGAATGCGGGCACGACTCAGTGCTCACACACCCCACCTTGAGGAAGGTGCAGGATTGGGCACAGTCCTTGTAAACCGGCAGCAACAGCAGAGCTCTGGCCCCGGGTGGCATGTGTCCGTCCAGAGTCCTGCCAACTGCCCTTGTCCCGCAGGCTCCCGAAACTTTCAGGGGGCGCTGTGGAGGGCAGCGGTATGGGCCGGATGGTGGACCGGTCAGGTCACAAGAGCTGTCTGACTGCTTTTCTGTGTGGACGTAGAAGTGGGCGAAGAGAGATGGCCAGCTGAAGATGCAGCCGAGAATGCGTAGAACAAGGCCCTTCTCTCGGCTCCACTTCTCCGCAGCCTTTTTCAAGTCCCCTCATGTGTGACACGACACTATGTGCAAAGTGCTTCCTTTGCCCCGTTTTATCTAGATGTGTGTAAACCTGTCCAGGACCCAGTGGCAAACATCACACGCAACCGGGGGTGAAGTGGGTGTGGGGCCGGCGCCTCTATCCACCTCGTGAGTTAAAGGAACAGCTATGAGTCGGTTCCGACTCAACGGTGACCTAGAGGGCACGGCAGGTCTGCTCCCTAGGGGTTCCGAGACTGTAAACTATGGAAGCAGGCTGCTGGATTCGAACCACTGTCTAGCAGCTCAGCACACCAGCCACGGTATGGCCAGGGCTCTTTGAGGGCACGTCAAGAGCAGGACTTCATATATCTTGATGCGGTTCTGTATTTGGATTTTAAACTGCTCCTGATGGGGGTGTACCCGGGCGGTGAACCCCGCCTCCAAAACCGACCGGGTCAGTGTGGTAATGCAGAGGGCAACACGCTTTATTGAGAAACGTGTCCTTTCCTAGTGCCTTCGGCGCATGAGCAGAGACTGGGGGGGAGGGGGTGCAGAGACGTCCCATGGGTGCATTGAGGTGCGGCAGGGGCGGGGCCGGGTCGCCACAGGGCCGAGCACTTTGTGGGCGCTGGTGCTTCCCGAGTCTGCACCTTGTGCCCCACTACAGACACCCCAGGACTGCACCTGCTGACAGCTGACCGTGGTCTCTGTAACGGTGGGAAAATCACCCTAAAGGCAGGGGGTTCATTAACAAGCCTCAGCCACCCCATGGGGTCCCACAGTAGTGATCCAAGTCCCCCCTGTCAGCTGATGGAGTTCCGTCAGCACTGCCGGGTAAGGTAGCCCCGAGGAAACACAGAAGCCCAGGTTTGGGGTGAGCCTGGTGTTGGGGGCACTGAGCCCCTGATTCATGAGGATGGGCGTGGCGGGGGCTGGCCGGCCCGACTCCCGCCCCCCGGAGCCCCCTCCAGTCTCCTGACGAGGCTCTGGTAGGTGAGACGCTCCGCTTGCCAGGAATGGTGTGTCCGCACGTAGTCCCGCCCATTGGCCACAATCTCTCTCTCAAAGGCAGGATCCCGGAGTAGCCTCTTGGCCAGCTGAACAAACTCCTGCAAGGAAGCCAGGGAAGGAGGAGCCGTGAGCATGTGACAAGGAGAGTTTGTAAATGAGTCCTTGCATCTCTGTAACCTCCTGGTCTGCCCCAAATGGATGGTCTTCAATGCCTTTATGAGAGAGATGGGATCAGGGGATAACGCGGCAGAGCAGAGCAAAGATACAGCTCAGACAGACAGGGATGGAGAGATGTAGCAGAAAGACAAACACCAGAGAGATGGGGGGACACAGAACAAGACAGGCTGAGAGTAGAGAGAGACAGAGAGAGATGGGGCAAAGACCAAAACTGAGAGCGGAGAGACAGATGGGAAGAGGGGGAGCGGGACACAATGAACCAGACGGATGGATCTAAGAGGGAGAGAGGGACAAAATATAAAGCGATGGAGAGAGCCAGACAGGGAGAACAAAAATCAGAGGAGAGACTGACAGCAGGAGAAAGACAAAAACCAGAGACCGACGGAGAGATGAAGGCCAGGAGGAGTGAGGGACGTGGAGAGGCAGACAGGATGGGGAGAGCTAGACAGTAACATCAACAGAAAATGCTGTCATCAAGTCTGCTTCCTAAAATTGCCAAACCCTGCCACTTTTACTTCTGACAGTGACTCAGATTTGCATGCCCATTCCCCGCTCCCCGCCCAATAAACTGGGGTGAGAGTTGCCAAGTCTGAATTCGATAACACTGCAACACAGTCCCTCCCGTCCAGGGAGAAGCTTCTGATCACAGGTTCAAGGAATCACTACCAGGCTCCAGAGTGGTATCCCTTTCAGCAATTCCTGAGAGCTCTGACCTTGCTGTGTGGCATCGGGAAAGCCAGCCAGCCTCTCTGCGCCCACGGGCTATGAGGAACTAATGGTCCCCATTTTCCTCGCCTGCATTCTCACAGAGTTTCCAAGACTGTCCCTTTCCTCCCAAGGAGAGGCTGGTGGGTTCAAAGTGCCCACCTTTCTGCCAAACATCTAGGTTAGCAAAGGAGCTCTTAAACTGGGCTTGTTTTAATATCAAAGCCCTTCATAATGAGTAAGAACTGGAGTAACTCTGATCATGAAAGAGAATCAGAGACAAAGGGAACAGCGATTATTGATTATCCCTATGCTATATATGGCTATGAGCCAAGACTATAGGGAGGCCTGGTGGCATGTGGTTGAAGCACTCAGCTGCTAACCAAAAGGTCGGTGGTTCAACCCCAGCTGCTGCTCTGCATGAGAAAGATGAGGCGCTCTGCTCCCATAAAGATTTCAGCCCAGGGCACCCTACTCAGTCCTGTAGGGTGGCTGGGAACTGGAATCGACTGGACAGCAGTAGGTTTGGTTTTTTTTTTGTGGGTTCGGAAAAGCTTAAGAGTGAGGTTCTCCAAGCATTACTGTCCAGTCCTGTCCTTAGGGACCAGAACAGTATCTCTGTCGCAAGGTGATGAGAAGACTGAGTCAGGACAGAGAAAGCCGAGGGCAGAACCCAGAACACACTTCACTAACATTAACATCAGATCCCCCAAGTCCAATGATACCCACGATTCAGACACAGGGTTAGGCGGTTTAAAAAGAAAACGTCCCCGTAATTAAACACTGAATGTTTTTTATAGCCGGCAGTATAAACAGCAGACTTTATATGGTAGAGTAGAATGATATTTTTATGGATTACACACACCCTTTATAGTAAATCGGCTGTTTCTATCATAAAACCATACTCATTCCCATCTCCTACCGGAATAACAATTCTTACGCAAACTGTTCAGGAGGCTTACCACATCTGTGTATTACTTAGTGATAGATTGATGCTTGTCAGATGTCTAAAGAACTCCAGAGGCACACTGGATTGTGCGGTGCTGGAGGTTCGATCCCACCAGGAGCCTGTTTGCTCCTGTTTTTCGCATTGTTGGAGATGCTGGGTTAAGGTGTTGACGGGTTTCCTTTTTGATGCGTGTTTGTAATGCTAGAAATTTTACTCTGAGCACTGCTTTTACTGTCATCAAAATATTTTGGTATGATTCGAAAACTTTTTTCTCTCCATTTTTCACATCTTCAATTGCCCAGTGCTTTTCAAGCAGAGTGTTACTCAGTTTCCATACATCTGGTGCTGTCTCCTTGTTCTTCCTATGGCTGAGTTGGAGTTGTGTACAGTGTCATGATCTGAGATGTTCTGTAGGGTGTCAATGTTTTTAACTTTATGCAGACTGGCTCTAGGGCACAGCATACGGTCTGTGTATGCTGGGGACAAAGCACAAGAGGGCTTCAGAAAGTCCATGGAAAAATGGAATTAAGACATAATGGAATTTTCCCACCAACTCGCTGAAGCCCCCGCGTGTGCCTGCCTAGGCTGCCGTCTTGGGTTGGACCCCATTTTCTCTCTTTAAAACAACTTTGTTCTACGGTGCAGCTGGCACCGCTGAAAACATTTCTATTATACCTTTAACTTGAATATGAATCGCTTTTACAGAAAAAAAGTGGTTTTTCCCACATTCCTCAGTCTATTTCAGACTTGTGGTTAGAAACAGCCAATGTCAGGGAGAGATCGTGCAGCGTGAACAGGGTTACACGCGGTTTTAAACACACAGTACCAGTGCTCTGGTAGCGTAGTGGTTACGAATTGGGCGGTTACGAGATGAGGCTTTTTGCTCCCATAAAGATTTACAGCCTCAGAAACCCTGTACAGGGTCGCTGTGAATCTGAACCGACTCCACGACACATAACCACCACCACCAGTGACTAAGGTACACGAAATGTTTTTGTTGTCATATTGGTTAGAACTCATAACGACCTTCTTTAGGATTTCCGAGGCTGCAGCTTGTGGGCTTGAACTGCTGACCTTGTACGTTGAAGTCCAGTGCTTATACTACAGCACCACCGCCTTCCCACAGATACACCATTAGACAACTCTCACTGAATGTTTTTAATACTTGATTTGTTAACGAGGTCAACTCTTGCAACAGGCGGCCAACCAAGATCCTGCCCCCTGCCAACTGTATAAGCCTCATCCCATCAGAAACACCCCCACATACGCCTCCAACTGCGGCTCTGGCCTCTCTCAGCCTCTGGGTTCCACACAGCATGTTGTCAGGAGCTTCTTGACACTTACTTCTAGTTTGCAAAATGACTTTCTGTGATGAAGAAAGCTCTTTGGTTACACTTTAAACAGAATTGTAAATCCTTTCCTGCAGCAGTACTTGGAGTCAGCACCAAGACCTAGAAGACAGCTCCCTCCAGTGTCACCTTGAGACATGAGCCCCAGCCAAGTCATCGTGCGCTCCTTTTCCGGCAGACTTGTGGGAACCACTGGGGTGAGTACCTCTTGGAGTGCAGGCCTCCACTTGCTCTCTGAGGCTGCCTTATTATTATTGCCTTCATGTTTATAATGTTATCAGGACTGCATGTGTTTGCCCTTTTCTCCATTTTGGTTTTGGGTTAATTGTAGAGGAAGACTTTCCTTATAAAATGTTGAGGGCCAGCCACTATATGCTATTAAACTTTAGGGCGAGTGATGATGACCCATCAGGAGGACTAGGCTCCCCCCCACCCAGCCCCCCTGCTGCACATGACCGTGCATCTGAAAAGTTAGCACACCTCTCCAACCCCATGGATCCCCCATAGGAAGTACTCCCACCCCAAGGAAACAGAGTAGCCTGGTTATTTATGAACCTGGACACCAGCAGAGGAAACTATCTTTAGGGTTTCCTACTTAGAAATTCAGATTCAAACTTGAGATCTGGGGTGCTACAGAATCAGAAATCCTTTGGATTTGTCCTAAATAACACAGGGCAGTGTTTTGACTACATCTGGTGTGCATGTTCAGTGTTCAGTCTACCAGGGAAATGGGTAGCATCAAATCCAACAACAGAGAAGACCCACCAGGAGCTCTCACATAATTTATAAGTAAACACGAAGGTCCTGCCATTTGTTTCATTTTCAGTAAATGGCATCATCAGGAGAAAGATGAGGCTTTCTGCTCCTGTAAAGATTTACAGCCTCAGAAACCTGTATATATATATAGGGTTGCTATGAGTCAGAAGCGACTCCACGGCACATCTCCACCACCACCAAGTAAAGATAGCCCAGAAAATATGTGGCTTCTTCACGGGACTACTGACCTTTCCAAATTAACTTTTCTGGGCAATCAATTAGCACAAAAGGGTTCCAGAATTAAACCAAGTAGAATTTAGAGTTTCACTGGTACCACCGACTTCTGAAGGCAATCCAGAAAATAAAGTTGCCAGTTTATAATATACTGTTTCAAAACTAGTTAACAAAACAAGGACTGTTTCTAATACTGCCACCGGCTTTCCCCTCAGCGCCTCCAGCCGCACTGGTAGCTCCCCTGCTTTCTCGTAGCTCTTCTTCCTTCATAGAATGTCCGTCCCCACCCCACCCCCATTTTAGTATGGATATCTTTTCATAACCTTTTATAATAATGGTCTTATGCAATATTTGTCCTTTTGTGACTAATTTCATTCAGCATAATGTCCTCAAGGTTCAGCCATATTATCTGGTGGCTTGCAGCTTCCTTGTTATTCATTTTTTTCTTCTTCTTAAATGTTTTATTGTGAATTATGTGATAGTTTACATGGGAGAACATTAGTTTTACATTCATTCTATCGTATATCGTCTCATTGCCATGGTTACAATCCCCTCCATGCAATCCTTCCCCCGTGCCCCCCAGGTCTTCAGCACACAGTCGCTCTCCCTCTCTGGATCTAAAGTCTCCAGCTGCTCCATCTCTCCACGTCATCATCTCTGGCTCCATTTCAGGCATCACTGCTTCTCTGGGTAGGGTCCCGCTCTCTGCTCTTCTCCCTTGATGGTCCTAGGGACCGCCGCTCCCAGACTGAAATTAAGTTTCCATGTATTCGACTGTATTTCCTTAGTCTTCCTATTGTTGATTTCTAATTGTATAGCATTGTTGTCTGAGAAGGTGCTGATTGTGCTGTTTAGGTCCTCTGTAGCTTTGTCAGGTTGCTTTCCGGCTGGTCTGTCCTTTTTCGAATGTGGTATATTAAAATCTCCC